TTCTTCTTCTCGTATGCTACAACTTTCAATTTTCCCGGAAATTTACGCAAACACTCGGAGAAAATCTCTCAGAACCATGCGTTCTAGGCTTGAATTGAAAATTTAAATGAGCATGTCACTTAGAATCTGTCAGTCGGTGCGAAATTGCTGCACAATATTGACAGTCTGTCAACCGATAAGCAGCAGTGTATTCAGTGTTCATAAGGTCCCTTTAAGTTTACCGATGATACCCATGTAAGCATTCAAGAAATCAAGTTATGCGAACAAACGTTTTTGATTATTCATAATCAGTCTAGTACGATAATATATGGGAGGGCAGAGTTAACAAAAGTTTTGGCAACCAATCAGTAATAATTAAAGGTGAGGTACTAAGTACTCAAAGGGTCAGATTCTAGTCATTATTACGGCCAGAGAGAGAGGGGAGGGAGCAAAGGGACTTCGACAATAAATTAATGTCGCCCGATGGTTCCTGTCTCGCGTCTTGTTGGGAGTTGTCAGGAAGCAAGGTGTCATGGTTCCTCGACGGTTTAGGTAGCATGGGGATGGAGGCCGTCGCTGTGTCGTCTTCGTCTCGCAGCGTGAGGACATGTATTGTCTCCGTCTCATCACCGTCGAGCGTCGTGGTAGTAAGCGTGTGGACGTACGTTGCCACGGGAGCCTTTTTGCCAGAACGAACGCCTTCTGCGCGCATAAAATACGGTTAGTTAGCCTTATGGCGACCGCTTCTGCCGTCGCCAGTATTCGCTGACGCAGGAACATGTAATATGTCGGCGGAACTTTATACATGACTCGACGTGCTTGGTTAACATCTACCTGACGACCGCTGCCAACTAAGTGAGCCAAAATCGCGCTAGATATTGACTTTATCACGCCTACTTTAACAAATTAGAATGGTGTTCTCGCATGCGCTTGAGCCCTTAACACCTATCTCCCTCTCCCACTAATTATTACTGATTCTAACGTTTGCTAGATCTACCCTCCCTTATGTTATTGTACTACCCTGATAAACAATCAGCAAAACCGTTCTTTCGCCTGACTTGACTTCTTGTATGTAACTTTACATACTTTTAGTCTGCGCGGAAGTGCTGAGCTGACGCAAACCACATTGCATTTATTTATAGCGAAGGTGATGATGTGTGAGAGTTTTCTTTTGTTTACTTGTATACCATATAGCAAACGAAAAAGTCAATAAAAACCAAGACGTAAGAAACACGGCACAAGTTATCACACCCTTTATTTAATTCAGCAATATTTGCAGCTCAGAAATAAAAAACCCTGAACGGTAACTAACTTTACAGTGCACTTTAATTATAACACAGAACAGAAGTAAAGTGTTCGCAACGCCATGCTAAAACTGATTAAGGTTATGCAAGACTATAAATTAAGTAGGGTCCTCTTAAACCAGATTTTCCTCTAATGTCTAATTTAGATTCCTGGAAAAACGGCAAAATATTGTTAGTACAAAAAAATACTCAGTGTGTGCTGCGTCGAAAACCCATTTCTACAACGTTACCAAATGGCAATTGGAGGCCTGGGCGAAAACCATGTAATTTGCTGAAAGTCGCGCAAGATTGATAATCACATGCGAACTGGCCTTAAATCATATAGGAAATCTTTTAAAAAATTTGGAAAATTTAATAAAAAAATGATTGCAAATAAAATCCAATATAAAGAGTAAAAATTGCTTTCTTAGAAACAGCGGCCGACAGAACAAACTGGGCAACAAAAAAGAAACTATTAATTGTTTGTTTGGAAACAAAAACGTTCGAAAAGATGCACCCAGGTAAAAAAATGTGACAAATCATATATGTAACATGCAGTGAAACCATTACCATTTTCTTTATAACAAAAATCGCTTGGACGGGTTTTAAAAAAAATTAATTCAGCCACTGTTTTAGAATTTGCATAAAATCTTTACATATTCTTCTGTGGATAGGTATAAAAACCTCCAAGATAATACATTTCTTCAAAGAATTTACCGAAAAACTGACTTTTCTTGAAAGCGGCCATGTGGACAAATCTCTGGTTACTACAAAAAACACTGAAACTTATCGCCGAAAAAAGGGAAGGTCCACAACACAAGACTGAAATTGTTTTCTCTAAGTTAATTTAAAAGGCTTTTTTATAATCGGTTGCCCCTTTGAAAAGCACTTTAATTAGATATTCAGGAATATCTATGCATTTTATATTTTTAGGCACCTCTAAAGGAAAAATGGTCAGTGTTGACAGCTTTTCATTTACCTTAGAACAGATGACACCGTTTTGGAAAGAACGCACCTTCCCCTTTACATTTGAGCATATTTATCATACTTGACTATTGTCAGTCTACGTTTTAAGATTAGAAATCAAAAAGTACTTGGACACGTGGATGTTGCATAACTGCTAATCTTCCATTCATTCTGGTTCTAAATTACGCGTTGTCAGAAACAATTTGTACCCAAAAATACCTTGCCAACTGCTACAGGTTTAACGAACTTGCTTTATGTGCCCACATACACGATAAACTATACACATTATTGTTTAAAGTCCGAAATCTTAAAAGCGGTAAAACAAAATACGGTCAAAGTTTTTTCTTAGTACGTTATCTAACTTAAACGGCAGACATTGTCAAGCGATATTTTTAAAATATACGTTGCTCCTTATTTCTGAAAAAAGGTGATTTCTTAAATTGTGTGACATTAAGACTACAATTTGCACTTTTCTGCTAATACTGGTGTTTAATTATAGCAAAACGCTACAAAAATAAAGTGCCAATGCCAGCGAACATCCGAGTCCCAGAAAGTAATTGAGAAGAAGACAATTCGATCACTACGACAATACGTTTATTCGCCTGACGTTTCGAGATCCATTGCGTACTCGTCCTCAGAGACATAGTCAAAGAGCGGTAGCAGAAAGCCGTTACTCGGTTCTGTCTTAATAAATAGCATAAGGACTTTGTTCGATATCCGGAAACGCGCGATGTCGGCTAAATGAAGTAAATTTAACATACAGCTTCCCTTATTAAAATGCTTCCTTAGGATAAAATTAACCTATCAGATGAAAATAACGAAAAAACATGCACACTCAATTGCCAGCTTTAAAGTTAATCAAGCACGTGCATTAGGATTGCTAAACAAGTGCTGCTTGATTTTTGGTTTATAATCCAGCACTTACTATTTTAGTCTTCCGTGTATTTGTCGCTATTGATATTCCCCCTATATTCCAAACTTTTTCGCCTCATAGAGCCAGTGCATCGTTGCGCGTGATTTCAGTCTTTTCCAACTCAACAGCAGACTTTTGAAAATTAAGGTAAATTAGTTCGATAATAAAGTTCGCTGCAAAGTTTGTTACAACTCAATATAAAATCTGTGCTAAGGACCTAAGAAATCGATTACTAGGAAGACGTTAGGTTTTCGTGTAATTTAGTAGTTTGGTTTTTGACAACTCGTTGCATTTAATGTGGCATAATGTTATTGAATGTATATCCATCCGAGCTCATATTAAACAATCTACGCAACTAGACAATTTTATCGATTTTACGTGGACCACTGTAAACCACTTCTTGCTAATTTTATGCAAAAAACTCCAGTTAGATAACTATATTGCATTGAGAGCATTAATCTTTAAGTAACCTTTCCTTCAAGACAAACAACCGACTAAAACATTAAAGGTTGTGAGAATCTCGACTCGATGCGACCCCATATTCGTCCGCGACCGTAATCACATAGACTTAAAAGACGGAAATGCTTCATTTAGGAGATATATTGTGCTCATCTAACTTCTGTCGCATCATATCTTGTGTAATATAAGGAAATGCTCTTGGATCTAGAATTGCGAAATTTGGTTTTATTTCAATGATACGCAAGTTTAACAGTGTTATTATTTGTGTGGTATAAACAACGGAATATGTCCCGAACTATCCACTTGATATTAATGTTCAGTCATTTCTTCTTTTTTATTTATGATCTGTAAATTCATACTTTAATAGGACAAAGAGCATAGAGAAGGCCTTCAGTAAAAAAAGTCATGGAAAGCAGGCAATAAAAAAGTTTTAGCGTATAATTTTTGAGGACGTGTTTCTTTTTTACTACCGAATATGCTAATTAATAAGCACAAACTATTGACTAGTTGTTTTTATATAGACACGTACTATTGCTTCCTGAAGCCACTCAGCGTAAAGCTTCCTAATGCTTATCGTGTAAGCCAGATTTTTCCTCCTGCCGACTGAATTCTAAGTACGCAATTTAATATAGCGTCGCGTGCCAACCTAGTATCAGAAATTATTATTTGACTGCTTACATAATTAAACTAAGTGATTTCTGAATTCCAAATGTAGACCTCCAACACTTTGGATTAAACGGTCGTCTTTAATGCTCACGAACATCAAATATACCATTTACGCCTCCATAAAATTTACGATGGAAAACTTTTCAGGCGTCATTAAATTAGCCAGGAAAGGGAGGCTCATCGGATTGAAAGGTCTCTACTTATAGCATACATAAGTGGAAATCGAGCGTACGTTTATGCTAAAGTACGACGACGTTGGCATTTTAATCCCCTTTTTCTAACAGTATCTTCTGCCACATTAACATTTTTTGAATAAGTGACATGTTTTGCTGTAAGCGTTTAAATTCGAAACGAAATCCGCATAAAGACTCGGGGACCTTTTTACAATAGGATATGCAAAAAAACAGCAAAAGTGCAAGCGTTGTGCATGTAGACAGAATTCCAGTTTCCCGAAAGTAATACGGAAAAAGACTCCAGCTAATTTCCTTATGTTCATGTAGTTACTTCGACAGATTTTACTACATCGCGCATGCTATTCTGTTAATTCATCAAACTCTTAATGAAGTGCCCCTTAAGTGGAATACTAAAGCCACATCATTTATGACCTAGTTTTAGCAAAAAAACAAGGTATAATACGTAAATCTGAACAGTTTAAAACAAACAAATATCATCGGATTGTGCGCTCGTATGATCAGTGCAAAGAGTCAGCAAAAAGATGGTGTTGCTTGTTTTTTTTACAAACTCAGACCCCTTCCACAAAGTATTTTCCAATCATTGGACTGCGTTGGCCGAGTTGACTCCGCTCCACTCAGTTGCTGCAGAAGGCCGTTCTCCAACTGTTCTCTTTGACACCGATTCCAAGCCGAGGTGCATTTCATAACAAAAGCATAGAAGCTGGGTTGAGTGCGATACAGGGAAGTCATGGTGTTTGAAATCACTAGGCTATTTTCCATGGAACTTTCTTGCAGACTGCGTAGCACACCAGCTATTAGGAGATCGAAGGGGTGCGGCCCGCAGATCAAGTCGAGCTCATGACTGGCATTACTAGCGAGACTGTCTATGGGACTCCCCTCTGATCTCTGTTCATCGGGAGAGCGCTGCGCTACCTGACCTCGAGACATGGCACAGATGCCTGGCAGATGTTGGGTTAAGATCAGAAAACTAATGAGCACGGCCACCACTCGTGATCCAGTCTCATGACGCCTGTACAAGGCATTCGAGTGCTGGGACGGCATTATCTTGAATCTGCCAGGTTTGTGTGTATTGGGAGGCGGGTGGGGTGCTTTTAAGGCCAAGCTGCTCAACAAACCAAACCAATTATCGTAGCGCCATCTCCGACATGTGCGCACCGTCAGCCCCTACTGAACGGCCCAGTGGGATTTCTTGAGTAGACATCGTTAGCGATAAGGAGATTGGTTGAAATTGTTGTCAGCGTGCTATCTGATTGTGCCAGGCGGCCGCTAATCAGATGAATGTAGGTCTGACCGTTGGGTTAAAGGCATCGTTGACTTATATCCTACTGCGGCTACTACTACTACTACTACTGCAGTTGGGGACTAAAAATTCCTCGCTGATTTTTCAGATATGTGTGACATAGAAAATGAATGGGCTATTCACATTATTGGCAAAAAGTCAGAAAAAATGCAGCAAAGCCAGGAAGCAGTAGAGAAACCCGTCAAGGAAATAAGATGAATTTTTATCTTTGTTCTTATTTTAGTGAATTGGCGAAGAATCAAAAGTTCAAATTGCACATAAAAGAATTCATGAATATTTCGCAGGTCGATCTTTCATCGCACTTAATCCAGAGAGAAGTGACCCAGGTTCGTGCGTAAAAGTCCACTGATTATTTTCTGAGCGAGCTTCGCTGTTCTCATTGCTCATTGTTTTTGGACGAATAAAAGCGGCATACATTTAGTAAGGAATATGTCAAAATTGACCATAAGGCTTAGAAGACACTGAAGATTAAAGCAAATCATGTGAGCCATTGGTTCCTTTTTTTGACTTTTATATCAATGCAGTTGTTCCAAACTTTCTAAAATTACCATTAAAGTGCAAAAAAGTTAAATAGGTGAGCATACACCTGCTTTAATAAATGCTCTTCACGTCTGTATATTGATAACTTAATTAGTTTAATAAGCTTAACAGGTAATTTAGATAATTGTGATATAAATGTACAAGACGGTAAAAAATGTATCTTTTATCAGTTACTTGCATTTGGAAAATTAATTAGGCTTTTCGAATGAGATGCATTGTTAGTAGAAATGTAACTTCGGCCTTCTTAGCTTGGTCGTGTACTCTGTAGTGCAGATGTTTCAATTTGAATTTAGATAAACTAACTCGGATTTATGTTGATTATATTATACTGGTAACTAGCGTTTTAGTATAGAAAAATAATTGAAATAATTCACAAAATGCCACCATTGAATCCCATATTGCAAAAAGACTAAAATTCAACGGTAAACGGTGCGAATATACATATATAGGGAGATAATCAAAAGCAAGGACCACTGGCGTTAACATTTGGTGTTAGCTCACGCAGAGTTCAGTTAAAAAAACGTATATATTCCCATAGACTTTTAGGATTAAAGCTAAAATGCGAGCAATTAGTTCACTGCTGCATTTTATGGTAAAATAATTATATAAGCTAAGTAATCAGGCTGTTCCTTTGTCGTATATTGTTCATGAAAATGACCCATCGTCCTCGCAAATCAGTCAGCGTGTTTTGCAATAAATATTCTTTAAAATGTATTATGATAGCAAACATTGGAAGCATGCACAAGTAGTCCCCCAGTTGTTACATTCTGAAAATCAAACGGGCCTATATATTAGGAGCCAAAACCGTAATGCAACTTTTTAATGTATGGAATTAAAAAAATTGAAGAATTAAAATTATCTTGCTGAATCTATGTGTGAACCTGTAGAATATCGCACAGCCGACTGAAAAGCTGTTCAAGTAAAAACCAGAATGTCATTCTCTTATTGAGAAAAATTCGTAGTTTTCTACTCAATTAGTATGGCTTTTCATGGGCATGGGAGTTTTAAGTAACATTTAGGGCACCTAGGATATACGTGTGCGCAAAAATATTGTTGTTGTTTGTGTGGCCAATTTTAAATGATGGTCATGTTAAATATATTGAATAAATTTGACAGTGAGTTACCGTGGATCTGAATTTTCCTTTGAAGTGTGCAGACAGTTTTACACATTAGGACTTATAATGTCTATATAGAAAGGTGAAATTGAAGTGAGTACCTGCAAGAAGAGACTGAAAGCAGACACTTATCGTCGGGACGCCTGAACACAGAAATAAAAATCAGTTTCTTGTGCTAAATTTGCTATCCGTTCCTGCCGCGAGAGAAGCAATACAAAATACAAAATTTTTCTAATACATGTGATTTTTAGGATATTTTACAATATAAAGGTAATACCTACACATACTTGCGTGTATTTTAGAATTTACTTTAATCATATCAAAAAGGCAATTTATTTGGAAAATTCCAAAATTTCCTTTGATTGAGTCGCAGTAAACGATCTTGGGTGTGCTAATGATATTCTACTGGTTAAATGTGGTTGAAAATATCCACAAGACTACAAGATTGCGTCTTGTATTAACGAACGCCTTAGGCTAATGTCAACATACAGATATACAATTACAGAGAACAAAATAAAGACAAAATATTAAATGTATCGATGACGTCAGCAATTTGTGATGATTCAAGCGGAATCATGTTCATAGCCAGAAATTAACAAAAAGGAGACAGTCAACTTCTTCCATCGTATTCTCCCCTACCTCTATAAAGAAAACACTACTTTCTCAATCTGACGCTTCACTTGTTCTCCTCTACTACGGAACAGGACGTGAAGATCACAGCCGCAAGGATTTTATCTATCAACTTAGGCCATTGCCACAGTCTTGTCATACTACAGTAGATGTCACGGATCACGCAACATTCGACATAGGCGAAAGATTGGTGCGCTTTCGCTAATCGGTATTGACTCAGGTTATGATACTTATTATCCTGTAGTCTATTCCGAAGTTTATTCCGTCATAATTGAATGCGGGCTTTTTAACGAGCTTCGTTCTGACTAACAGCAAAAAGTATATATTGTAAAAACTGGCTACTTAAGAAGTATGCCTTTTATCATTGATTTTGACTGCCTTTGTAAGTTCAAATATATTTTATGGAATATATGCACAAAAAAAATGATTTATTGTACTTGTTTGATAGCAAATTACGCCTTCTTTAAATT